CAGTGTGCCACAGGCGTGTGACGAGAGCTTTACTTTACTTAAGTACGGTACTGGGGTCAAGCTAGTGGCGGGACGGTGGGATTTTCTTGTGGGTAAGTACGGTACTGGAGTCGAGCCAGTGGTGTCTGGGTTTCACCAAAGCCGTCACCATTACAACAGTCGGTCACCCCCTCCCCCCTCCCCCGCTATCTACCACAAAACGCTTACGGAGTAACCTTTAGTCCACTGTGGGTGATGTTTAAAGATCTACTATTGTGGTCCGACTGCATCTTTCAAAGCTGTGTGGTGTTACAGGCCATTTGTTTATTGAATAATCAAAATGCCATAACGGTTGCACTGATGAAACTGATAAACGTGTGCCATTCAAGTTATTGATCAGGCCACGTTATGAGCCTAAATGCGAAATCAACCATTAGAGCCACAATGGCCGTCACGCTTTGTCGGTCACTTCCTGTGAACTTTTACATCAATGCCCAGGGGAATAACTCTAGTTATACAAGGGAAGCAATCGTTATAATGGCTACATAAGTTACCAGCCGATTTATGTAGCAGTTTTATTGCAATCTTCAATTCCATTTTTGAAATGCTTTAAAACTTTTTTAACTGCCGTTAATTATTAATAAGGAATAAAATATCCTTAGCGGACTTATTCGGATGAGGATCACCCGTGGAGAGGTCCCAGAAACCCCGTTTAACAGTTATGTTACATTAGGGCCCCCGGCAACAACCAGGGCTTCAAAATAGCGAAATGAGGACTTTTTTTTTTTTTTTTTTCAGTATCCAGAAGCCATGAGTTGTCAACCCTTAGGCTCAGTATTATGGATATCGCAACCTTTCGGCCTTGATTACATTGTAAATACCGTAAAATCTGGGAGAAATGTGGCTTTTCTGCCTACCCCAGGAGTGAACCCGGACCACAAGGAGTTCGTCACCCGGTCACCGCGCAATCCGGTTTTAGCCAATTACGCTAGAGAGCCGGGCAAGAGGACGAAGATTAATTCTGCTGCTGTTACTACTACTATAATAGAGTAAAGAAACAGACGGAGGAACCCTTGAGGTCGCAGAAATATTATTTAAATATACGTATACATAATAAACAAACAGACAATGTATTAATCGGCACTCAAGAAAGAAGTAGAAAGATAGAAGGACATACTAGACAAGATAACTATCGAAAGCTAAAGTTACCTTGCTGGGAGTCGAACCTGTCACCTCCAGATTGCATGCACGCTTCGCTATAAAAACAAACCCAATAAGAACATGACTAGCTAGACATCCCTAAAAAGTTGTCTTCTTTGGCCATGTCTATTGTACAGGCTGAAATCCACAACTACGGAATACGGACGGAATTCATCTCGAACCATTGAAATGGCATCATCGGTTACAGAAGTTTATATTAACCAAGCTTTGGTCGAAAAACAAACACTACAACAATTACAAACAGATAGGAACGTAATGCTATGTCTACAATACAACGAACATTTAAGACAAAGATTTGATTGGTCGGTTCCCCCTCTGTCTATTTATGTGAATTACGTGTAACACAATGGCCTAATGGTTAATAATAATGGCTACATAGAATGGCACCTGGTATACGTCCTCAGACGTTGGAGATCATTGGACTTATACAAAACAGGACGTATACCAAATCTGTTTTACCATAAGAAATAAAGTTAACAAGTAAAGGACCGTTTTTCACGCCTTTCAAACATATGGGACATATAGGGCTAGACTTATATTTTAACAGAATATTGGGCTCTCAATGGATGATGTGATCAGCATTACTCCGGCCGCCTTTACTTCCCAGGACTATATTTGGTACCCTCTCAAGGATGGGTCGACCTGGGAACCAAGGTTATTTATGGAAAGAAAAAGAAAATCCGACTTCGTCAGGACTCGAACCTACGATCTTCCGACCCACAGGCCAGTGATAAGAAATAAACGGAGAATGGTTAAATTATTGCCATGAAGTAAAAGTAAAGATCCCTTTTCACGCCTTTAGGTGCATTGGAAGACCACCCAAATTTTTAAAGAGCAACCGGCACTAGGTGGGTAACGTGGTCAGCATTACGCCGGCCGTCTTTACTTCCCCAGGACATACATCCTGGTACCCAATTTAGACTGATTCGACATGCGACGTCACATACAAAGATAAAAAAATCCATACAGCCAGCAGTGGGTTTAGATAGCAGTACGTTGAAATTACGATTCGGACTCGCAAAGCCTAAGCCACGGACGTCGCTTATTCCCATGACCCCCCCCCCCCCCCCCCCCCCCCCTCTTCCCCCTCAAATCTTATTGTCATAGGCGTGTCATACCTTGGACTGTCAGAATAACTAACAATGTTTGCGTGGAAATGAAACTGCTATTGAAAGTAGAACATTGTGTACAACAAGGAGAATGAGACAAACACAGTTTTTTGGGGTCATGTGATGATAAAAAGAGCGCTGGGAAATATCATAACGACTGAGGAGACCACTGGTAGAAGAGGCAGTGGCAGATTCTATAGAAATGATGGTGGATGACTTAAGACAGTGGCAGGGAAGAATATCATCAGTGGAATTGATCCAGAACACCAAAGACCGAGATCTGTGGAGATGCATCAACGCTTTCGCCAAATGGCAAGGCACTTGATGATGAGGATGATGATGCCATACACTGATAGGATTGTATAGAATAATTGAAACACTGCTTAATATTAAAATATATAAATACAAAAACATTTAGAGGAAATAAATGAACATGCTATCTCCACTTTACCTTGCTGAATTGGGGCTGACACGTTCTAGTACGCGAATCGTTTTCTAAACACAGGTCGCATACCAGGCAAACGTGTTCGTTTCTAAACAGGTCGTACACCAAGTTGGACTTATCAGAAAGGGCATGTATACGGAAGTACTACCGTGTGTATGTGTAGGTGTGTGTGTAGGTGTGTATGTGTGTGTAGGTGTGTGTGTTTATGTAGGTGTGTGTGTGTATGAAGAGAGAGGGTGCAATATATTTTAAGCATTCAAGGCCCAAAGGTGTCTTCTTCTACCACTGACTATCATCTGTTTATTATCCCTTGTGTGTCCTAGGGCTCCATTGTGGAAGGGGGGGGGGGGAGGGCAAGAATAGATCCACTGCTTACTAAAAGAGTCGACTAATTTTGAGCTTATTTCTAAGTCGGAGTACAGTACATCTGCATGAGAGGCAAGGAACCAACAATCTGCATGCAGATGACTCAAACCAGTAAAATGGATATACACGCAACACTCAGTTTCAGAAACAGGACTCAAGTCCAGAAATGGAAGAACAATCAGAACTTTCCGCCAGAGTTTACAGCCGGTGAACGTGTAGAAGAAGAAAAATAAGATCTATTCATTACTAATTACTTCTTATCCTGCGGATCGGAAGGGCGTGGGTTCGTTCCCTGGCGGAGCCGGACTTTTTTTTTTCTTCAGAAATGACCTTGGCTTGAGGCGGTACCGGGTGGAGTCCCGAGAAGTAAAGGCGGCCGGTGTGATGTTGACCTTATCCCCCATCTTGTGCCGATTGGTCTATAAAATATAGGTCTAGCCCTAGATGCCCTATACGCCTAAAAGCGTGGAAAAGGGTCCTATACTTAACTTTGCTTTACTTCACCTACTTCATATTTACTTAATTTTCTATTCATCAGGGCTAATGGAGGCATCCCATCGAGCATTCAACACTGCTGGATATCATCGCCACTAACACTCCAGGGCGACAACTGCATGGGAAAGTAAAACTAAAATAGATTGACCAACTGAATAATTTCCCTTCCGTGATGTTGTATCAAGGTTTGTTCACCCTGCGACTCAAAGAGTCGAATCCTGGATAGAGTCCAGCTAGGCAAATCCCAGATACCCTTTTCAACATCTAAAGAATGGATAATTGAGGCATCCGTCACCGCAACATCAAGCGCTCTCTTTACTGCTTGCCTGTATAGAGAGCTGTGTGAGGCAGATGTGTCTTGACCCTAAAGATCTAGAACCGCATGGCAACTACAGTCGCCACGAACTGTGCAGGTTGTGGGTTGTGTTTGTGCCATCATCAAACACAATTCTTTTGCTAAGGATTTGAACCCGAGTCTCCCAAAAGAGATTCAAGAGTTCTAATATCAAGTACTGGCCCCGTTTAACCTGTAGTCATGAGAGGGTGACGCTATTTCAGTTGATACGCGGGAGCGATGTATAAAGCTACCGTATTGGTGGCCAAATGTGTCGGAGTCATCTACAACTACTGAGAGTATCGCACTGTACTGTACTGATGGGCCTTTGAAACTGATTTACTAGCAAGGTTCCACAACTTATCACGGGCAACAGAGGTTATGATGCAGACTGCATTGAACTGAACACAGGCAACGATGAAAACAATAATTCGATGAGCTAAATGCTCACTTGCACCGTAGTTAATTTCTTTTGTTGGAAGGTTTGTACTCTTCGTCCACCAAAGTGCAGAAGTGGACGAACAACCAGACGTTTCCGCCGGAGTTTAAAACCAGCCAACTCGATGAACAAGAAGAAGTACTCTTTGGTCAAACATGGCGAAATGCGTTTGTGTATGTTCAGATTATTGTAACCGGTTAGTCTCATCGATGGGACTTTTCCATTAAATTATAGACTGAACTATTTAACTAGTTAGTTGATTGATCTAATCAGCAATTTCTAGATTGGTCTAATCCGTAATAATGACTGTCTAATCAGCCATTGGGTGAGCCATTCAAACATCTTCTAGATTTGTCTTTTGAGTCATCAACCGTTTTCTACACTGGTCTATTAAGCCATCTTTGAGATTTGTTATCGAACGTCTCCTGGCACATTTTAAAACTGACAGACATGGACATCTTCGCTACAGATGGACAACATCATCAACAACAACATCAACATCATCAACATGACATAAATTTATAAATTTCTAGACGAGTCAGAATGCATCAGAGAAAACTCCCATGAAAATACCAGTTTCCGGTGAAGCGAGTGTGACGCTTCTCTAACGCCATGGGAGATGGGCTCAATACCAGTGTCGAAGGCGCCATTAAACAGGATCACTATTTTCTGGAAAACATTACCTTCGATTCCACGTACGATCCCTCTGCAACTTGGCTCTCGCCGTCTGTGAACATCGTGCGAGGAGCTTGTCTTGTTGTGGTCAGTGTCCTTGGCGCAAGTTTTAATGCTTTCATGATCGTGGCCATCGTCCCCAACCGTCGATTGAGGACTGTACGGAACATCCTGCTAGTACACCTTGGGGGAGTTGGATTATTGTCGTCCATGTTTACTACTATGTACGCAGCTCTCGTTACATTTCACGTAAGTGTCTGTTTGTAGATTAATTCCATTTTTATAAGCTTTTATTAAGTTCGCGTTTGTCCGGTACAGTTTTTAATGTTATTTTTTAATTTTATTTTCAATACCCTGCTTATTATCGTCCTTTTAATTTATCTTCAGGGTTCTGTGCCGTTGCGGTTTACTCCTGTAAATATCTTCTTATTCTGCATTTCTAAACCCCTATGGAGCATAGGCTCTCAACCAGCCTACGCCAAGTCGTTCTATCCTTCGCTATCGCAGGCACTCTCTAGCTGCCTTCTTCGTGTGTTTTTTAATCTTTGTTTATTTCTAGCCCTGTGGGTCCCAGTGCAAAGGCATTCTAGTTATTTTGTTCTGATGTTTTCTTAATGTGTGTCTTATTGTTTAGTTCTCTCTCAAAGATATCACCCGCCTCTATTCATTCAGTTACTGGCCTTCTTTTGCCACATCTAAATTTTTCGTTTTGTTTCGCGTAGTGTTGATCTTTCTTTTTATTAAAGTCACAACATTTACCTAATGTCAACATCTTTTTCTTTACTAAGCATTTTTTTTTCCTTATTTTGTAAAAGTAATATCTTTTACTTCAATAACTTCCTCTTCTTCGCGTACACAGGCTGTAAACTCCAGAATGAATGAATGAATTTCTACCCCACCAGGACATCACACAAGCGATAAACACCCGATGACACAAAGTGCCACCATGTGGGTGAGGATCACCGTGGAGAGGTCCCAGAAACCGCGTTCAGACAATTGGCCATATTTATGCCCTGCCAATATTGCGGCCCCTGGAAAAAGCCAGAGTGGGGCTTCAAATAACAAAAAATTACGTCCTGTAAAGGACGTAAGATTATTCTGAATAATTAGGAATGTTAGGTTCTGAAGAAAGTTCTGGTGTTTCCTGCACTCTTGGACTTTAGTCTTGTTCCAGAACAAAAGGTTTGCATGCACGTCTGTAATATAGATCTGGTTTATTTGTATGCAGACTGTTGGTTCCTCGTCTCTCAGAAGATGTACTCTGACTTCGAGAGAAACCCCAATAATTAGTCCACTTTTATGACATGCTTGTTGGAGTGCCTTAGTGAATATATTCTTCTTTCCTCTGCAATAGGGCCCCGGAACCCACACGGGAATTAAGTCAGTTTGTAAACATGTCCCTTACCTCCCCTGATATGAGCGTCAATCATTGGGTTGTCAAAAGCAAACTACTAAACGTAACATTTATTTGTGAAAAAATAAACAGTGTTGGTAATATGAAATGTTAGGAGTTAACTAACGAGAGCTTAGGACCGCAGGGGTTAACTCTTTGAGTACGCGTTGGATGTACATAGTAGGTTAGTTGCCATCCTTTACAGGACGTTGCAGAACCAACCCCAGCAGCCCTTGGCTGTTGTGTGGTTTCTCTAGGCAAATTTACGTCCAGTATGTTACCATTGCCTCTGGACGGTCGGCCCTCTGATACCACTGTCGAAACCAACGCAAGGCGCATGGCCCGAAGCTGGGATCAAATCCGGCACCCCGGCATTACGAAGCGTTCGCATCGACTTAGCCAACATAAACACGGTATATACAGAAAAGCTGTTGCGAAATTAATAAATGCTGGGGTTCAAAGGAAATGGCTGCAGTCGACTCTGTGGTCACTGCTTGGTTTGCTGGCCCTGTCGTGAATAGTCTATCCCAGAAGTCTCGCCGATTTAGAACTTTCCCCTCCACTTATACACTTGCTCGACTGACAGGCTTGAACCGCCATGCTGAAACTTCATTTGCCGAGGAACTTGTGGAACTCGTATAGGTTTCACCTTTTAACTGACCACGCACACACACACACACACTCACACACACACAAAAGAGGGGGGGGGGGGGTCATCGTTAAAATGTCTTTATGATGTCACCGTGTAGGTCTGTGTTGTAATGTCACGTACTTAACACTCTTGACATTCTTAACAACAATATTGATAAGCGTCAAGACGCCTTTATAACAACATGCTTATTGTTATTTTTGCTTCATTTTCTATTTCAATCCTCCTCCTATTAACATAGTGAGACAGAGCGAAATAACGTGCAACTTCATTGGGGTGGAAGAAGAGGTGTGGTTGGGGGGGGGGGGAGATTGGGCTAGGGGTTCCAAATATTTTACAATAGGTGAAGAGTCAAAAAACAGCTCAAGGTGAGTTGCTAAGTACAGACTGCGTTAGGAAATGTCAGGGAAGACAAATGGGGCGAGAAACAGAATGGCCCGCTCAACTTTATGATACAAGTCTAGAATATATAAAGACCGCATGGAATCACCATGGTGAAGTAGCTAGTTGGCTTGCTCGTTCAAAGGCCATGTGTTTAAATCCCTCTGTTTGCGGAAAAAAAAAATGTGTGTGTTTTTTTTTTTACATTTCTTCTTATATATATACAGATCTTCTTACATCTCCTACATCACAGCATTTATCGTAAATGACCATTGAGGAGAATCATAACACAAATTTAGTCAGTAAATTACCCATGTAAATAATCTATAAATAGCTGTTTCACTTGTCTAGTGTGGTATCATAAACCTAATGTAACTACGACAGCCGGTGATTTAATATTTTCTTAAATTTCTTTTTTTCCTCGACTGCCGCAGATATTTATTTCTATAAAATGCTATTTTATATATTACCTATATGGATCAAAAAGCTAATGAAGCAAACACCCAGCAGAGAAAAGAGAAGCACACTTTTCTAACATAGGTCCATACTGTATATATTTATGAACAGTATGAACCTATGATCGAAAAGTGTGCTTCACTTTTCGCTTAATAATATTTAATGGAAGGAAACAGTTACCAGAAGACACAAAAGCAATTGAGATAAAAACGTTTAAAGAAACACAGAGTATAATCTTGATTAGGTCGTCTAATCTCCTGCCAGTTTGCATTCACTTGAAACTAGTTTTGGCCTCTTTTATGGATAATTGTTTCTGACAAGTGAAAATTTACTTATCTTTCCACAGGGCACCTGGCTAGGTGGGAATCCTATGTGCCAGACATACGCTTACATTACCTGTGTGTTTACCAGTGTGTCTGTCTGGACGATCGCCGCCCTCAGCTGGGACAAATACCAGACCATCGCTTCACCGCTGCATCACTCGTTAACTGCAACATTGAGAAAGATGTTACCGTGTTTTTCTGTGTTTTGGGGTTGTGGTCTTATTCTGTCGTTGCCACCGCTGTTTGGGGCTAATGAATACTCCTTCCATTCGACGATGGGAATTTGTGGTGTCAATTCATCAAGTATTACAGGACGTTGGTACACTTGTGTTTTAGTCTGCTTGTCGTTTATCTTTCCCTTTTGTTTAATGATCTACTGCTACGCTCATATTTTCCGGATCGCCAGAACTCAAAGCAGCCGTATAGCTGCCACCATGCTGAGAATGGTTAGCGTGATCCAGGCGCCCATCGCCCCAGCGACTCAGAGCTCACTCTCCCTGCGAGGAACTAAAGCTATGGGGACAATTTTGCAACTGATTGGATCCTTCGTTTTGACTTATCTCCCTTACGCAATCATTATTCTTTACGAAGTTATATTTGCTGTACACGCTAATGCTGTTTTTGTGTCCATAGCAACCACTCTGTTTTTAGCTGCTCCATTCACCCACGCTGCGATATATGGAATTAGGAACCAGATTCTACGCACATCCTTCTATCGCTACACTCGAAGAAAGATTCAACACTGCTGTGCGAATGATAAACGGCGTGGTAGTATCAAGTCGCTGAATAGGAAATCTCCAACAGCTCTAAAAATGCCGTTGAAGTGTATAGTTCGGAGTAATGGGAAACAGTTTATTCTACGACGAACACTTTCCTGTCAGGAAGGACCCCTAGACGGACAACTTGGGGTTTTTGAGGAGCAAGTTGCAGTTCTTCCTCGACCACATTCTTTCGACGTTTTAAGAAACACCATTGGGTGGTCTACCCCTTTGTCTAACGGTACAAGGCTACACAATGGAGATAACTCTCGCGGGGACTGCAAACAAGTTAAAGAAGTTTCCTTTTCCGACAAAGACGAAATTTCCTACATTCACCCAGATGGCATCTCTCATATGGGTCGACATGAGGTGTCCTACTACAGTAAAGATATCATGAAAGAAATGAGTGTGATGGATTGGGAGATGGAAGAAATATCTCGATACGACCCAGATGAACAGGATATTCCCGAATGCGATAGCCGGCATAAGAAAATGTCTAGCTCAGACAATCGACAAGATGAATTAGTGAAATTATACCAGTTCAAAGAAGATATACTTAACGCCCCTTTAAAAAACTCAAACAATACTTCAGGCTCTCTCAAGGACAAACCAAAATCTGGTCGCAGAAAAGACAAATCGAGATGTCGATCTCACAAACTGAACCAGGAAGAGTCATCCATCTTCCATGTGGGACAAATAGAAATGGAGTCACACTTCGACGATGCTTTCAATGATGAAATATCACAAACGTAATAGTTTATTTAATTATTTACTAAATGATACTTCGCTAGTCCAGAAGAAATATAACTCCTCATATTTTTACTGTTCACTCAGTTGCTTGTATCCTGGTCTACCCTAGTCATTTGGTGAATTTTTGTATGTGTGAATGCTCAAATCGTGCACAAAGTCAATGATAATAATAGTTCGTCAATTGTGATATTACAGTATTTTAAAATCGTGCTTTATATTTATATTGT